TCACTCCATCCTTCATGTCGATCCGCCCCCTAGATTTGTGGTTTGTCTATCTAGACTATTATCAACGTCTCTTTTCAAATGGCTTTCGATTGGTCGCGGTGTATAAGAAACAATGAAACATTCGTAGCGTAATGGCATTCCAACAGGAGAAAAAGATGTCGCAGTGTATTCACGTGTATTTCTAACTTCCTTGTTTGTTGAAGACCAAGCATCTTGAGATGTACTTTCGTTTACTTGCATGCATAATAGGCCTTATAATTGTCCGAGAGTCGTATAGCTTATGATGATTATAGCTGATCGACACAATTTTAATATTTAAAAAATATATATATTTCGCAAATTAAAAAAAACAGGGTACTTCATTCAGTATCTAGTTTTTCATGAAGTCCAGTGATAAAGCTTACGGTTGCTTGGGAGATGGATAGTAGAAGGGGCTCGACGTTTCGAACAGGTTGACTATCCGTCGTCAGGAGTGGTGTCCTATTTCTTAGCATTTTGGCGTCCATTCACATATCGGTACGTACTTGCCAAAGTATATAGCGCCGAGGCTGGGACTCGAACCGCGAACCTTGTAATCCACAGTCTGGTGACGCCTGTATTCACTGGACAACGACACCTCTACATAATTATCATTATGAGTATAAAGACTAAATAAATATTTACAATAACAAATGTTACCTCATGGCAGTTCCGTATGCTAGATGTGGAGGGTACCTCCTCGACAAGATCCACATGAAAACGATAAACAGTCCCGGCCAGAAAAAGCAGCCCGCCATGAAAAGGGCCCATAGCGATGGGTAAAGGGGCGCTTCCACATTAAACTCATCCATAGTAAGGGGGGTTTGAAAAAATGCCGCAATATTCAGTCGCTGTCTTTCTAGTAAGCGACTTCTACGTACACACTGTTTACGTAGACGATATTGATACCCCGGGATGATTATAATATTCAATGATGACCCTTTATGAAAGTCCCCGATTCAGCTCTACACCCCGGTTGAGCAAGCAGCAAAATAATAATAATCACAAACAAGGTAATTAAATAGGTGACTGATTATATTATATACACGCGATCCGCAAAACACTATTATAATATGATTCTTCTTCATAATATTCAATGCTAACCCTTGATGAGAGCCCTGATTCAGCTCCTCACTTTGGTTGCCCAGGTCAAAAAAACAGTTGAAAACAGTTGGATTTTCAACTGGTATCAACTGTAATCAACTATACCAGTTGAATCCAGTTGAAACCAGTTGACACAACTGGTAAACTTCACACGCACCAGTATATCCCAGTTGAAACCCATTGACTCTACTGGCACATGCTGAAAACAAACCAGTTGATTCCAGTTGAAACCAATTAACCATACTGGTATTGTTATACCAGTTGACACCAGTTAAAACAATATAGGCGTTACTGGTACATCTGCCAGTTGATTCCAGTTTAAAACCAAACCAAAGTGGACCATTTAAGACCAGTTGTTTCCAAATGGAACATATTGAAACCCAATTGGTTTTTTTACCAGTTGATTCCATTATTTTGAAAGCCATTAACTATAGGCGTATACTGGTATGTTATTAGACCAGTTGATACCAGTTAAAACCAATTGGCATTATAAACCCAGCTGATTCGAGTTGGAAACCAGTAGATGATTACCAGTAAGTTGCTTTACCAGTTGAAAACCAATATATGATACCCACTTAAATTACCAGTTAAACCAGTAAATGATTACCAGATGATTTACCAGTTGAAACCAATTGATGATTGCCAGTTGATTTACCAGTTGAAACCAGTAGAATACCAGTTGAAAAACCAGTTCAATGTATCTTATGCATATTCATGATTAATTTGCATGTTTTCACACAAAACATAATTATCATGATCTGGTCAAGCAAATGGGACAATGCACATCAATTTTGTGATTTATAGTTTTTTAGTCAATCATTGACAAATATATTATATAATGTATGATCATGTTTTACATATAATTTAAGACGTACAATTATATATACTGATATATGTAATTGATAACCAGCAAAAACGTAAAATTTTGTATGTATGTACGAACTCTTCATCCATCATTTAACATAATACACAACTGTAATTCACTTCAAATGATCTTTGTGATGGGGCAATTGGAAGAGTCTATATGGATCAGTTGGTCACCAGATGCCATGCAATAATGATTATTGATTAATTATCAGTTGATTGCTGGACGTTACTAAATGATCAGCTGGTTTTCAACTGGTAAAATCAACTAGAAATATCTACTGGTTTTTAAACTGGTACCAGTTCACAACTGGTGGTTTCAACTGGTATTCCAACTTGTACCAGTTGATTCCACTATTATCAATTTTCCATATTGAAACTAGTTCACTGAAATGGAATCAACTGGTACCGGTTCATAACTGGTGGTTTTAACTGGTCCTAACTGGTACCCAGGGGCGGATCAAGTCGGCGGGAGGGGAGGGGGCCCAATTCGTGAGAAAATATTTAGCGGCGAAACAGCCGGCCGATAATTCGCTAAGTGGGGGGTGGGCAGTGAGCACTAATTTATTTATATTTTTTTCGTCCCGAAAATTTGAAAATCGCACCACCTAGAATATAGAATATAGAATATATCATTTTAATTTGTATTGTCTTCTTTCAAAGAATGAAGAAACTTTCCTTTCAAGTGATCATACATAAAAATTTCACAACTTATACAAAATTTATAATATAAATACAATCATACCTGCATAAAAAGTCTAAAAGTATGAGTTAATGAATGATACATACATAATACAGGTTGCATAAAACATAAGGATAAAGGGAAGAAGACAAAAAGGAAGAGATAGAGAAGAATATAGAATGATGGGAATTAAAGGAGAATGTAGCCCCGGGGGAATAAACTCAATAACCGACACCCCCCCCCCCCCCCACCACCTCCAGGGCCTCACCCTAGAAAGAGAAAGAAAGAAGAAGGGGGAAAGAAAGGAAAGTAACAGAAAGAAAAGGAGAGAAAGGGAGAGAAGGAGGTGAATTAGAGGAACGTAAGCGAGGATTAGGAAAGAAAGGAAAGAGGGAGAAAGTACAGACAAAAAAGTTTAGAAGGTTATTGGGAGGGCAGCTACACTGCTGCTGCTCTCGAGGAAAAGTACACAAAATAAACTAAAGACCAACTCCTAAGTACAAGTTGAAATGCATGGAAAGTCGGCGGGCGCATGCAAGGTGGTTTCCAAGCCAACCATTTTTGTTAACTAGGAACAAGTTCAGCAACCCGGCACGCGCCCGTCGAGAATCCCGAGCTAAAATAGAGGGCGGATTCATTCAAGACCAGTTACAAGAGACTACTAAAATCAGAAAAAACCACATAATTAATGGGCACGAGAAGTCACAAGTACGCAGGGGCGGCGATCCCGGGGGGACGGGGGACACGTCCCCCCCCTCATTTTTTTTAGGGGGATCGTCCCCCCCCCCTCAAAATTTGAAAATGTGCCGAACAAAAATGTATACCGGTAGTTAATACTGACTAAAGACTGCAACACACTTTTAGGCTCTGGAGGGCCCAAGAGTGCAGCGTTTAGACAAATGAATAATTATGCAAAAATCTTCTCATTCGAGTAAACACCGAGAATAGTGAAGTGTGAGAAAATGTATTGCTTGTTTTATATTATAGCTTTGCTAAGGATTGTAATTTTTGTAATACATGTACAACAAAACTTCAAAAACCTGTGAGAAGGTAGTCACTTCCGTCACCTTCACCCCTCTCATTCACTATGCTCCCTCGCACTTGCGTATTGATAGAGGGAGCTTGGGGAAGTCCCCCCCCCCCCCCAAAAAAAAAAAAAAAAATCAAACCTGGTTTATTTAAAATTCAATACCAGTGATTTACAAATGTTTCTAAAATGGCATTTTCCCTGAGCTTCCAGGGGCTCTGGACCCCATCATGGGCCCTAAGGCGGTCCCCTGGTTGCTCATCTTGCCTTTATTAAATGCCTAAAACGCCTGAGCTTCGTGGGCTCTGCCCCCTGGACCCCACCAAGGGCCCATAGGCGGCCCCTGGATGTTCATCTCATCGTAAGTTAATGCCTAAAACCCCTGAGCTTCCATGGATGCTTATCTGACCTTAAATGAATGCCTAAAACCCATGGGCTTCCGGGGGCATCGCCCCCTGGATGCTCATCTGACCTTAATTAAATGCCTAGAACCCGTGAGTTCCATGGGGCTCCGCCCCTTGACCCCCTGCCGGGGCTTTGCCCCTGGACCCCATGCCAATTTACGCTATACTTGCTTCGCTCGCTTTGCTCTACCTGATCCTAAATACTTTATTCCCCCTCCCCACTTTAAAAAACGTTGCCAGGCCTGCCGCTGTTAGAGTGGTGGTGATGCGAATTTTTTTCTGCCCCCCCCCCTCAAAAAAAAATTGTTGTTGATTTTTTATGTACTTTTCTATTTTGTTGCATTGTTTTAATATTGTGATTTGGCAAATAAATACCATACCATCATACCATTTGTTTTATTTGTCTGATCAATCAAATAAATGAAAAGTGTATAGCTGCATGATATCTAGACTTTGATAAGATCGAAGCCTATTTGCCTGAAAAAAGCTGCTTATATATCATATATATAGTCAGGGATTACTGGTTATATCCCAGAACTATAAAATACATATTTTACAGTTCTATGGGTCATATCGCCTTTCTGTGTCAACTTTCACTTTCACTTTTAATAATAGCGGAACAATCCGGGAGAAGGCCTAGATAAAGTGGGGTATAAGAACAATAGAAATATATAATGAGAACATGATGAAGAATTATATTTTTGCCAGCTGAGATCACCAAAAATCCTGCATGTCGATTTCGATAATTTCAAAAAATATTTTTTTTAAACAACATGCGATCATTGGTAATGTTTCATATTTCAAATTGGTAGTGAACCATTTAATTTGATTTTTTAATCAGCTAGTTAAATAGTGGGAAATGGCTAAGGTCGCGACAAAGAGAAAACATTGATTAAAAAATAGTAAACATAAAAAAGGAGCGAACAGAAAAAGGGCGGTAAAAGAATATCTTGGTAATACACTGCTATTCTTTACTTTTAACTTGTCCGTTAGGTGTTTGTGGTTTGATTTATTTTGAGTATTATTATTATTTGTGAACAGAATGCTTAGATACGTTTTACTGACTACTTTCAGAGTTTCAGACAATGCAATGTGATTATTTCTGTGACTGTGTGTTCCACGTGTTTAATTTCGTGTAATGTTCAGATCATTCAAGTCGCTGAACGAGATCAGTCCGCGTCCGCGCCGCCGCTCCAGCTGAACGCACGTTGTCGGCATGGCAGTTGAGCATGGTCCTGTAGCTGGTCCTCAGTAAAATTATAAAAATATAACTAGAATATTAGATAAGGACAGGGAAAGAAAATGGAAAAATTTTGAGAATTTTAACAAATGAATATGGTGAAGAAAATAAAACTAAAGAGAAATGAGAAGGAAGTGAAAGTGAGAAGTTGAAAAAGAATAATAAACAGAAAACCAGAACTTCAGAAGCAAAAATAACAAGAAAAAAAGTTGAAAAGTAAAATGAAGGGGAGGGTAAAATAAAAATAAAATAAGCAAGTGTAAGAAAAGCATGAAAATATTTTTTTTACAGGAATATAAATTATTGGAAAACTAATGGATGAGCATCTGATGTTTGTTTAAAAGAAAATGTGAAAAAATCAGGGAGGAGAAAATGCAGAAAAGGAAGATTGAAGAATAAAGAAAGGGGAAAGGCAAATATGAGTTCTCTTTTGGATAACACATACTCGAAACCGACCAACCCCAGAAGCTGAACTTTTAAAGATAAACTTGAGTTCTGGTAATTATGCGATTGCATTGTGAAAGCAAAGGAGTGGTATGGATCAGAAAAGTTGATCATATAGCATGTAAGTAATGGTGTGTAATGCAAGGTTCTGGAGTCATCAAAATCATCATAAATTTGACAGAGTCTTGGTAAAGTAACAATCACTTACACAGAAAGATGTATATGGGACAACACACATGGTGTCGGGGCTAGTACTACCCTGATTTCCTTATCTTTCTATGCTCTTTACTCAGCCAGTATACATTTTCTTCCAAAATTATTTGGGTTGGGAACAGGTTTACATATTATTTTTTTACCCATAAGATGAAAATAATCTGGAATTATGGTCATAGGGATTACATTTGAATTGAAACTAGCATGATTAATTTATTGTAGTTACAGAAACAATAACAAATTTCAAGTCCTTCAACATGAGTTTTTTTGACTAGGGGTTTTGGCCAGTTGTTGTGGCACACAACGGACAGTTGTATTGATCCAGAGCTGAGGTTGCATCAGCTGTACCAGGGACTTTATTTGACTAACACTTGCCTATTATTTACAGTCAGTATGAGTAGAATTCTTGTTGAGACGGAAGCAAAATACCATTGTTTAACAGTACTTCAATTCTTAGTAAATAACCCAAACCAGATGTACCGGTATGCTGCAATATTCTCCAATTTTTAAAATTGAATAACCATTTCTCATTTACTTGATTGATGAAGATTGCCAATTAACAAAAAATCATGAAAACAGGATTTTATATTTAATTTTGTATTGTCTTTTCACCTTGCAGTAAAACAAAAAAAACACAACTAGTGAGATGGCTTCAACTGGATTTGTTGTTGGATTTCTGGTTGCAGTCATCGCTTTTTCTGTGCTCTCCATCATCCCCGACTCGGACCCACGGATCGTCCGATTGCAGTCCCGGGTCAACCTCCTCGCCTCCGAGCTTGCGGGTCTATTTTCTCGCAAAAACGTTGCAGGAACGGCCAGCCAGGAGAGCATCGACACATGTGAGGACTCTGGAAAATTGTTCACTGTGGATTCTTTGAAGGCATATGACGGAAGCAGAAACAGCCTTGGACTGCACATTGCCATCATGGGGAAGGTCTTCGATGTCAGCAAGGGAACGAAGCACTACGGCCCAGGAGGGGGGTACAGCTTCTTCTCCGGGAGGGACGGGTCCAAGGCTTATATCTCTGGAGATTTCTCTGAAGAAGGGCTAACGCCAGACGTGGAGGGGCTCACCCCTCAAGATATGATCGGCCTTGAGGATTGGGTCAAGTTCTTTAATAATGAATACACTTATGTGGGTAAGAAATACATGTGGTCATTTTGTATATCTTCTAAAAATATATCTTTATCTTTGTTTTTGTCAGTAATTAATGTCAATCATGTTCATTTTGCAGTAAAAAAGGTCTTTTGATTGAGGAATTTCAAGGGTAAATCTTCTGTGTGAGAATTAAATGCATGAAAGAAATATATCTGAACTGTTAACAAATTGTTGTCATCTCATCCCACCCCACTACTGCATTGCAGCAATTTGAGTTTACTTCCTAAGTAAAGTTGTGAGTTAAATTGACTAAAGTGTGTAAGATTCTCATAAGAATATATAGTTGTGAAAAATTAAGTAAATTCTGCAAGCCCCAGAGCTAGGTGAATGACCCACAAATAATATTGGCAAAATATTCTACTGGAAAAGAGTTATGCCATGAAGACATTCCTTAACCTTTTTATGCCTCCGTTACGAAGTAGCCAGAGGCATTATGTTTTCAGGTTGTCCGTCCGTCCGTCCGTTCGTACGTCCCGTTCTCGTGATCGCGTTATCTGAAGAACCGATTGATGGATTTCTGCCAAACTTTGGTCATGTATGTATCTTACAGAGCCGATGAACTGATTAGATTTTGGGGTCATGAGGTCGAAGTCAAAGGTCATGCGGCTAATTATGTATGCAAAAATAGCTTGTGATCGCATTATCATTAGAACAGATTGATGGATTCCTACCAAACTTAGATCATGTATGTATCTTGCAGAGCCAATGCACTGAGTAGATTCTTGGGTCATGAGGTCAAATGTCATTGGCTCATTATGTATGCAAAAATAGCTTGTGAACGCATTCTCATTAGAACTGACAAGATGGATTACTATCTAACTCAGGACATCTTGCAGAGCCAATGAACTGAGTAGATTTTAGGGTCATGAGGTCAAAGATCAAAGGGTCATATATGTATATGAGAAATTGCTTGTAATCACGATATTCTGAGAACCTGTTAATGAATTACAATGAAATTTGAATTTGAAAAATTTCTTCTGTTTTGGTTTGCAAACTTGCTCTATGACGGAGGCATCATTTTCGACTGTGTGCAGTCGAAGTTCCATCTAGTTTTGTTAAGGGCTGGCCAGATTCTATCCGATGAAAATACAACTTTATGTCAATGAAAGCTTAATGAATGTAGAATACAAATATATAGAAATAAAGAATATTATTCCTTTTAGCAAATTAAAACCTCATTTTACGCACCCCTCCAAATTTTGTGTCAACAGGGGTCAAATTTGCCACAGTTACAGTGCCGACATAGCATGTGTACCTGATCAGCTCGCCTGTGTAGCTGAGGCGATGAGCCATACTTAAATCGTGCCATAATGAATATAGCCCAGAGCCACAGGGCTAATCCCATTGTGTCAAGCCACAAATCCCCCCTGTGCCAAGTTTATTTTAAGATAATTTGATAATCTGATGGTGCGATCTATAGCGCGTGGAAAGCACTCAGCACAGTACAATGGGCATGAACAATAACTGCTATTACGAATGCGAGCAAACATGCATGAAGCAGCGAAGCGGTAGCCCGCTTGCTTGAATTAAGCAGCTAATCGCTAATGCGCTAGCGTGCATGCAGCCTTATGGCAGGATATGAATTAACTAATGCAAAAACTTAGTGAATATGCGTACTCCACATAAGATGATGATAATTTTCATTGTAATTTGTTTTTAACTTAAATGATTTGTATATTTTTGTTGTCTTTGTATGTTTTATATCATTTGTACATTACATATTGTACCATACTTTTGTGGAAATAGGAAAACTGATCGGTCACTTTTACGATGAGAGGGGAGTGCCAACGCCCAACCTGAAGGCAGCACAGAAGTCCATCGAAGAAGGGAGGAGACTCAAAGCCAATGATGCTGAGCATAAGAAACAATATCCTCCATGCAACTCGGAATGGAAGCAAGCAACAGGTCTTAGGGTCTGGTGCTCAAATAAAAGGTAAGATATCTGGGAATTGAAAAAGATATACATATATAGAGTGTGATATAAAGTTGTGATTGATCGAATGCTAATTGAGCTAGGGTGGATTCTGTTTATGAAGGGCAGGATATGACATAGTAGGGTTATTCTATGTTGGCTAATAGGCTAATTGCTGCTGTATCACAGTACTTATTTTTTGGAATTTCATTAAAGGTGAGAAGCAGTGAAAGTGGCGATGGAAATTAAAGACCATTAGCAAAAACAAGAAAAATCAATGTAGGAGTGAAGAGTAGTATACGTCTAAAAGACTGCTGGGAAACAAAAAAAAGATTTGTGGTTGAAGAGGAAAAAAATAAGAAAAAAATAGCAACTTTGTTTTTTCGCAGTGAGTGAGGAAATTTTACCATAGTCTCAGAGTTGTGATAAAAAAATACATCCAGTGAGGTAGATGGATTTCACGCAATTACACATCTATTTCTTTATCTTTTTGTTTGACATGAAGTGGGGGCATTTCACGAGACTGGATCGGCGTTCCTCGCAAGCTCTTCAACCCCAGTACCAACAAGCAGCGCTGTGCTTGCATCAAAGAGTCCGAGCTCCACAACCCTCATCTCCGTCTCTATGACAACTGCCCTCTTCGGTCCGCATCCTGCAAGGGAGATACCTAAGATGGATGTCCTGAAATCCGGCTTAGGTGATGAGTTTGTAAACTGTATTTTCATTTAAAGCCCCACTGCACTACTTATAGCTACTTGCGCCCTCTATATAGCAAGCAATTCCTAATTGGTGACCATTGGTCCCCCATGATCCCCTTTTGCTTATGTTAATTGAGAGCTGATCTGATGAGATAACCACCTGTCAGTGACTATGCAAGGAGGTATAATCCCTCCTGGCCAACTAGTGCTGTGGGGCTTTAATAGCGTATTTCTAATGACAGTAGTGAAATAACTTGTTATACAGTCAAACCTGTCTATAGTGGTGATGCATTTTACCTTCCTTGAGAGAAATGTGTGTTGTAGAACCTGTCTAGAAATGCCACCTGTCTACAGTGGCCACTTGTTCTGCTTCCCTTGGGAGACCTTAATAGACAGGTTTGACTGGATACCATACTTGTAGTGCAATAGATACATTGTTAATGATAATCATATTTTTATATTTGATAGTAACCGAAATGGAAATATTGAATTCAGATGTAAAGCCCAAAGTAGAATTTTTGTGAGAGATTTTTTTTTCTCTCTTCCGCTCTCTCTCTCAAAAAAAATTTCTCACATCCCGGCATATTCACATTAAAAGAGGTATATTTTTTTATATGTGCAGGAGACAGATTTATACAACTCTTTTTGATTCAGTACTACATTATTCTATACCCAATACATGTTTGGTGTAAATTGTTCATTTATATATCCCATGGACACAACACTTTTTGCATGGAAGATGTTACATGTTACATGTGTTTGAAATAGTGCTGTAAGTCAGACGCTATGTTCGTGTTCGGTTCGGTTCGGCAGAGTTCGGCAATTTTTCACCCGAACTTGGTTCGGTTCGGGGTTCGGTAATATAATAGCAAGCAGTGTTATACTAGCCACGGCGGTCGGCACTGGGCGGGCCAGCCGGCCTGCCGGGCCCGACCAGCACGGAGGACTTCTGCACACTGCTCCGACCAGCACGAATTTCACATTAAAAAACTGCTCTAAACGTAATTATTTGTGAAGAAAAATACTACTTACATTCGTATTTCCGTCTTGAATCGTGTTTTATTTTCAATTTTAAAAGATTCATGTTTTCAATTTGTCAATAAATGACATTTTTTAAAGATTTTCCGAGACGGTTGTTGTCTAATGTTAGAGTCATGATAGCTGACATCTTGAATAGAGACTCGATCAGGCTCGTCAGTAACTGTTTTTTATAAGTTTTTATTTTCAACAGGATAAATATAAAATTCCTATTTTTCCTCAATAAATAAATACCACACTATAATATATATTTATTTCATTAATTATATTATAATTTTTTTTCGATATTGTTACAATTAAAAATATTTTTGTTGTTGTTGTTGAATGGGTTTGAGCTGTACTTGTTTTGATCACGCACATGTATTCTTGTTCATGGCTTGCGATCGCGACGTAGCGTGGTCAGGATTTGGGATTTAAATGGCACCAGTGAAGTCGCGCCCACCACTGGATAGGCATAAATCACAAAGGCGGAAAATGGGGAAAAAAGTAAATATAAAATGTGCAATCATGACATAAAAATTAGGTACAAAATGACAAGTTTATTAGCTTGCAAAAACTTTTTTTTTTTTTTTTGCCGAACATCCGAACCAGGCCTTTGTGTTCGGTTCGGTTCGGTTCGGTTCGGAAGTGCCATGTTCGGCGAACTTCCGTTCGGTTCGGCGGTTCGGCTACAGCACTAGTTTGAAAAGTTTAGTTACTTTTGTTACTTAATAGATTAGTGATGCATAACATCAATTGAGTAGCTAGTTTCCCCGACTCTTTGACGATTGTTCCAATAGCAGTCTGTGGGCAGTTCTTCATGTAATGTCCCATCTTGTGGCATTTGTAGCTTAAATCGTCTTAAATGGCTTTCCTCTTGCCAGTTTTGAATCGGCACACTGATTTATTGAGTGACGTCATGTCTGTCTTCAGTCTCTCTACTTCAGACAAAATAGTCCTCTGTTGTTCCAATATCTCCTTGAGGACGTTTTGTTCGGGCTTTGCTATAGCTAATGCTGTCTGGGCAAAGTCTGTCTCTACTGCTCTAACTTTAGGGTTAGTTCATTAGTTGGGATATTGCTGGCATGACCACCTGTTTATTATCTGTTGATACCTAGACTGGCTATTGTTCGCAATTGCAAATTATATACCCCAAAAATGTTAATTAAATCATTACCATTCTTTTAATATAAAATAGATTTACATTCAGGTATATGCATAAAGCAATAATTCAAATTTTATTCTGCTAGAATGATTTTGAAGGGAAAGGGCATTTCAGAGATTGAGTTTGAAGCAGATTGAGCAGAATGGACAAAAATACTTATCGATAGCCATTCCCTCTCCAGGGGTGATTCCATTTTTTCATTTTCATTTATTGGTTCAACCATTTTTAAAAAAAACAACATTCAGAAATACAAACAATGTTCGAAGGACAAATACAAAACATGTTGGACATACAAAGTAAAAATGGTTAGGGAACATGAGAGAAGCTTAAGCTTGTAAGTGGGGTTCCCTGTACAATAAACAAGTAAAATTGTATAACAAAATACTGATAATAAGCTAAGACAAACTAAACCATAGCACCCATTAGCATTCACTGGCTATATTACATTATGCCACACAGGCAGAACAATGGGCTCGGCAGACTAACCCTACTTGACCTAGCCGAGGCAGCGCCTCAGTGCATCCAATGAACACCGACCGGTGCTATGTAATACAAAATCATGTGGGAAAAAAAGGACATACACCCATTACCCATACACACATTATAGTTGAAATAGTTGAAATAGTTGAAATATTTATTGGTTACTGAATCATAGGTTATAACAATAATGTGACAATGTCTTTACATGAGTATAAAACATAAGTTAAATTACATTTCCACATTCAGTAAATCATAGATACATACGCTCGAAGAGGTGATGATACAGAAGGGCTACAGCCTAAGCGTGACAGCTTGATACGCTTGCAGCCCAGAAACATTTAAAATCATAACGATTTTAAAGTAAAGTAAATTACAGAACATAATTGGGGGAAAATAACAAAAAATAAACAGTGACTTGCAACCCAAAAAAAAAAATGGGATAGAGGGTGCATGGGAGGGGGATTTTCCTGCTATATCAAGGAAATGCTGACAAACATATATGATATCATGTGTTAATTTAAGAGATTTGTCAATATTTGCTCAATAAAATTGATTTCACACTTTTCTTGAAAGTATATACTGACTTCAAGTTACGGATGTCAACGGACAGTGAGTTCCAAATATCCGGACCTGAATGTCTTATAGATTTCATAGCCATTGTTGTTTTAGGATTACATAAATGGTATTTATTTGATTGTCTGGTTGGGTATGTATGAATATTTCTATTCAAACAAAACATTGGTGGGAAGTGGGAAGGTAGGGAATCATTATGTAGACGGAACATGAACAGTGCTTTTTGTAAAAAGTTAATATCAGTTACTTTCAGAGTTTTTAACCTCGCGAATAGGGGATCAGTGTGATCGCGATATCCAGCATTGGTACACACACGAATCGCTTTCTTTTGTAAAAGCAGCATTTTATCAGTATATACTTTTGAGTCTGCCCACAGTATATTGCAATAAGACATGTAAGGAAGAATCAAGGAATTGTATAGCATATATAGAATATTCAAAGGCACATAATGTTTTAACTTATACAGTAAACCAACAGTGCGTGACACTCTCTTTGAAACGTAATGTACATGATCACTCCATTTCAGATTTTCATTGATGATAGTTCCAAGAAATTTAGTATTTTGTTTTTTCTCCAAATATTCACCATCCAAGACTATTTCAGGTATAGGTTTATCAGTTGCATTTTTCCTGCTTTGAAAATGAATATAATTAGTTTTTTTCAGATTCAGAGACAATTTGTTGCTCCTAAACCACAAAGACAGCTTAGGTAGCTCGGTGTTCAGAATTCTCTGAAGTGATCGAAAATCGGAATTGGAGCAAAACACATTAGTATCATCAGCAAATATAATATATTGTAATGATGTAGTTGAGTTCGAGATATCATTAACATACAGTAGAAACAATAAAGGACCGAGTATCGATCCTTGTGGGACACCACATTTCATAGGCAATAATGATGAATCTACAGATTCGTAGCTAACATATTGCTTTCTACCTGACAAATAATCATTAAACCAGTCAAGAGCAACTCCTCTTACTCCGTAATAATGAAGTTTGCTTGATAGTACCTTGTGATCAAGAGTGTCAAATGCTTTGCTTAAGTCCATGAATACACCAATAACATGCTTTCGAGACGCCAAAGCATTCGAAACCTTATCATATAATTGTGCAAGGGCTAAATCGGTTGAGTGGTATTTCCTGAAACCATATTGATCCTGATTCAGTAAGTCATTTTCTGTTAGAAAACAATATAGCCTATTGTATATAAGTCTTTCCAATACTTTGGACAAACTCGAGAGAATAGAAACAGGGCGATAGTTTGAGACTTGGGAAGAGTCATCCTTTTTGTATATCGGAACAACCTTAGCAATCTTAAATGCTTCTGGAAATGTACCTGTCGTCAGAGAGAGATTAAAAATATGCACTAGTGGGGTTATTATATTTCCTATAACTTGTTTCAAAAGATATGTGCTTATCCCATCATGACCGTTAGCATAGCTTATTTTAAGAGAACGTGCAATATTCAAGATTTCAATCAAGTTTGTTGGTTTGAGAAATAATGACTTGTTGCAGGGAGTTTGAAGAAATTGTGAGAAGTCGACTCCGTTCGAAGCTATTGTATTGGCCTGATTGGGGCCAACCCCAACAAAGTAAGCATTGAAGCAATTTGCTATTTCTTTTGAATCAACCATTGTATTATTATCTTTGGTAATATGACACTTTGATTTACTCTTTTGTTTTTTGAGGGCTTGATTGATCACATTCCACGTTGATGATGCATTTCCATTTGCATTTTCAAACTGCTTGGCAAAATACATTTGTCGAGACTGTCTAATAATGGTGGTTAGTTTGTTCCTATATGATTTGTAATTATTCAAGCTTTCCTCTCCTGGGTGTCGAAGACTATATTTATATAATCTATTCCGTTTTTTAATAGAGCAAAAGATACCTTTAGTTATCCATGGCTGCTTGATTCTATTTCTTGCCGATCTTTTTTTAGTCATTGGGATATGTTTATTTAAAAGAGAGGAGAACAAGTTCCAAAAAAGTGCATATGCCTTATTGGTGTCAGTACATGCGACCACGTCATTCCATGTTACTTTGAGTAGTTCGTCATTAAACATGGCTATTTTTTCAGCTGTGATTTTACGTATCATAGCTTGATTCTTTTCGTCCTCAGGATAATTGCGAACATGATTACAAATCAGGAAAATTGGAAGGTGGTCAGAGATTTCACTATACAAGAGGCCAGAGCCTATATAGTTATTGGTGACATTTGTAAAAATGTTATCTATCAATGTAGAAGAGTTATTTGCCAATCTGGTTGGTTTATCAATCATGGCATTGAATGAATTTGATCGTAACATATTATGAAAAGTATTATCTTCCTGCAAAAGATCAATATTAAAATCACCCATCAAGTAAACTTCCTTATTTTCTAGATTGACCTTATGCAGCATCCTATCAAACTCATCCAAAAATAATTCAACATTTGTATGCGGAGGCCTATATATTGTACATATCAAGATGTTTTTCCTTTGAGCCATATTGATTTCAATGCATATCGAGTCAGTACCATCACTCTTCAAACTAAGGTCAGATCTAATTTTGTATGTTAACAAGTTTGAGATAAACATAGCAGCTCCACCACCCCTTCCGGTTTTTCTATCAGAACGTACAATCGAATAATTGTCAATATTACATAAAGTAGATGGAGATGTATCATTAAGCCACGTTTCTGTGACTCCTATGACTGAAAACGGTTTGGTGAGGGCTGACAGCAGAATGTTCAGATATTCATACTTTTTAACAAGACTTCGTGCATTTGTATGTAATAAGCTAAAGGAATTATTTTCACTCTCAAATCTTGAATTAAATTCATGAGGAAGATATTATTTACAATCCACTTTGTCATCCAATGATTCATTCAATTCATCAATATTGAACATAATATATAGTTACATGAAACATCAAAGAATATATTATTGTCCATGACATAATAACAAAAATGTGTCTACAAAATGCATGATAGCAGGAAAAGGGGGTCGGGGAATGGGTGCAAGTCTTAAAAAATAAAATATAATTAAATACAAACATAATTGAAACTATATGTTAAGAGAAATTAATGTTAACAGTAGTAAAAGTAACTGCCAAAACACTCCTAAAAACATTAAAATGTGAAAATACAGCTAACACAAATCACATGAAGAATTTTAGTAGCAATGGAATAGAGGAGGTAAAATGAAGAAGAGAGCAAGAGCACACATGTGCTGATAACATGCAAGGAGCCATGACTCATTTCTGAGAAGTAAGCCATAAATCAAATAAAACAGAAAGTTGTGTCCTTGAGCCAGCTAGTGGGTGGTCAGTTAAAGTCGCACTATAGTAAAACTAAATTTAAGCAGAGAAATAAGGAACACCTCCATCACCCCTCCAAACTCCTGCATAAAAGCGTAGTTTAGTTCCCTTCATGAACAGATCTTGTACTTGTTTTTTGTACTTCTTCTTTTCTGTAAGGTCTGCCAGCGTCAGATCATCGACAATGTAGTATTTCTCCTTATTTAGGGCCTCCCTTGACTTCTTCATGATGTCGACCTTCTCACGTATTGACAATGTCTTGACCAAAATGTGTCGTGGCTTATCTCCTTTCTTCCCATCACGATGAGCACGCTCAACCTTGATGTTCATGTTAAATTTCGTACTGAGGATGTCTTCCACTTTCACGACACAATCCTCTGTTTGATCGCCTGTTGATTCCTCAATCCCGACGATCCGCAGATTATTTCTCCGAGAGAATCGTTCAGCCTTGTTGGCTTCACGATCTTGATTACTAACTCTCTGTTCCAGATCATTATAAGCTTTCTCCATCTTTCCTAGTCTGCTTTTCAGCTCCTTGTTCTTCTGTTCTAGATCATTGATCCGGAGACCCTCAAATTCAAGGGCCTTTTCCACTTTCTGAAGACTTTCCAACATATTTTTCATAGCCTTGTTCATCATCTGTTCGAAGTTGCATGATGCACCTTTAATATATTCAACTAGTGCAGACGGGGTGACAGAGCCCAAGTCATGATGGAAAACTAAAATGTTCCAATTGAGAAGTAAACCTTTCAGGAATAATTGCCACTTGTGGATTGTTTGAAGATGTTATCTAGAGTGTATACAAATATATCTTTTGGAGAGGTTAAGAAGCACGTGTGTTGCTCAGCCAGTCGCCATACTAAAACTTTACCCATACACACACACATACACCCCCGAGAGGGAAATAGAGAAGGGAAGAAGGGGGCAGGAGAGTAGGAAAGGAATAAAGAGAGATAAAGAATTGTAGAGACACATTGCACAAATTATTATGAAGATTATTTAAGTGATTCTAACACAATGACCATGAAACCACTCGTCACAGCCATCGCATTGAATCATGACTGACCCATCATCTGGTTTCTTGCAACTTTAAACAATATAATTCCTTTTCTCTTCGCAAAGTGTCCGAATTTCCCACAACTGAAACAAGGACCACTAGGTGACCTAGCGGGAGGCCTATTGGGAGACCTAAAATTAGACCTTCCAGGCGAGGGAAAGCTTCGAGCTCAGTCAAAATCGATGCCCTAGCTCCTCTTTGTTGAGCAACATCTGAGATCTTCAAAAAAAAATTGTAGGTCTTCAAATGGCTTCCCAATTAAGGTACAAGATTGTCTTGCTTCTTTAAATGAAAAGTCATCAAGACTTCCACTAAAAAACTTGTCCCGTAGTGTTGATATTGTTTGTTGCATATGACCGATGTGAGTAGAAACCATGTCTTGTTCATGACGAGTCATATCTTGTATGCCAGATGTTGATACTCCCCTCTTTTTCATGTTTGCAATAAAGGCTGCTAATTCAAATGTAAAATCGTCGACATCAATTTTATCTGGCTTACTGTTTGATTCATCAAATTCATCTGGTTCATCAGAATCAACACCATTACGTTCCAAATCCATATCTTCATTTTCATCCTGGACATTAACAGCAGCATTTTGAATTTGATCACGTGCAACTGCAACCAGAACGTCTGGATGCTGAGATTGCATGTGTCTTTTATAAGGTCTATACACACTATACGTCGAATGACACAAAAGACAGACTATTTTCATTGATGTGTTTAAGTTCATGTTATGAACATAGCGATGGTGGGTAAAGAGTCGCGCCAATCCACTGAATCTCTTGTAACCATTAAAACATGTGTACAAACTCACATCTTCCATTTCTTGATTTGCTTTTCCTAAAGCCACACTTTGATTTGCTGGTCCTAAAGCCACACCTTGATCTTCTGGTCCCAAAGTCACACCTTGATCTTCTGAATCTGAAAGCATATCTTGATCTTCTGAACCTGAAACCACATCTTGATCTGCAGAACCTGGAGCCAAATTTTTAAGGTATTGCTCGAAGCGTTCCAAAAACCTCACTCGTATTCCCACTTTGGGAACAAGTTCTTTGATAGTGTCGTGTGAGAGAAGTTTTAAACTTTTTGAGATCGACTTCATTTTCTGAAAGTGATAAAATAAAATAAAAATATTCATTCATGGGATATCAGATTTCATTGAGCAAAAAATAACCAGGCGATTTGATGGGTGGCAGGGGTACAACATATCAGACTTTTGAGTGGCACTTTGACAGCTTCGGGGTGGATATGCTACACACAGGGTCAGAGCAAGTGAGGGGGGGGGGGTTCTAGAGCAGATGATAGGTGAATGCTTCATCGTAGTTTGACGTAATTTGCCTTCTTTTCACAAAAGACTCCCTCTGATTCTTCCTTATCAGAATAATGATATAAACAATTTGGTCTCACCTAACATTATGCCAATGACACATCAGTCCCTGTTTCCATATTTTAATTCCAAGGATTAAGAGATACTTTCTTTGCAACAGCTAAGTCATAATTGATACAAATAGTGCTATGTTGTGTAGCCTGTAGGCATAGCCTATGCTTATATGCTGGATCTAGATTTTGTACGCACGCGATGCTTACGTAGATATCTAGGTCAACTAATGACCTATACTTGCGCTGCATGCATCACATTCGTACCCCTTTCCGAGGACAATTCCTCCCCTAAAAAAGGAAATCTGCTTTTATTAAAGCCAGCTTATTATCAGGGTGGACTTACCCCTTTAATGAACGGGGGGAGGGGGTGGTTATTGACAGGGGGTGATTTTTGTATAAGGGAATAGCGAGGCCCTTCCAAAGAGCTGCAGGTAAACCTGATTTTTCCCGAGTCTGGCTTTGTGAAAGACTTGTAGTCGCGTCAGTTTACACCCCCTTTACAAACTAGGTACTAGTAAGCTATTGTTGATAAAGGTCAGAGGCATTTAGAAATTGTTGTGGATTTATAATTTCAACAAAAATGGCAAATCATTGTCTAGTATAAGTTATACGCCACCTAAAGACAGGGATTGCATCTCATTCATGAAATAATCTGAACTACTATTATTTGTAATGTTATTCGATGAACGTTTTCTTCTGACACTTGGTGTCGGCGTTGGTGTAGGCGTTCGAGGTGGAGTCTCCTCCCGTCTTGCTGTGACTAGGCTACTTCTAGGCTCAGTGGACACACGAGATGGAGTGCTCAACTGCCTTGTAGTAATGACAATAGTAGTTGTCATATCTTGTTCGGTGGATTACTTACTTTTAAACTGGATTTGTGCCATGTGATTTAGTATCGTCTTAAGAACCTCTTTCCCATAGACTCCAGGTTTTTTAAGAGGACACCTGGAGGCATTCCCATCACAATGTAGCTTGTTGGGTGTGAATACGGAATCGTACTTCTTGCTGATTGAGGGAAGGCTTCAAAATAGGTGGAGCTTTCTGTACATAATGACAGTAGTAGTTGTCATATCTTGGTCGGTGGATGAGGCACCATTGTCATCTGGGTTGCTGTTAGCACCCCCGGGAACCTCAGCACTGCTTTTAGCAACTTCCTCAGTTCTGCTTGGACTCGTTGCAGACTGGTTGGTAATATCAGGTCTGATGTGTTGTCTGTTACGCCGTAGGAAATGTCCCTCAGGGCTCGGAAGGATGTAAGAGTGTTGTCCCTCAGCTCTGGTTTGGACTGTAGCAAGAGACAACCGTCTGGTGACAGGGTTGTGATATCCTACATCTTGGTGTATTAATGAATCAATTTTTACTAACCTATGGCTGTGAATACAGTAGCATCCAGATTTGTCGGGCTCCCAGCCTCCAGAAGCTTGGAGTGTGTATAGAACACAGTGAGCAAGAAGAGGGCCACCCCAGTAGCATTTTTTTTGTTGGCTGCTTCTTGAAGCGTGTTTTTGAACGCAAATATGCCTGTCCCTGAGGAACTTCTGTTATCTATCATGGAATCACATATATATCTATTAAGCCATGTTTTATTTACAAAGGCAATACATTTGGCTGCTATATAAAGATACATTAATATCATTCATTAATTTAGGTCAGCCTTGCATATATATATACCTACTTGAGACACCTAATGAGACACATTTCTGGTAGTGATAACAAGAACTTAACATTTTATTATAGTTATATTGCATAAAAAGAACATGAACATAGAACACAAGCAAACTCCATCATAACAGATTTCAAACATTGATTATACTTCTAAATTGCACCGGGGCAATGATACATAAGAATTAAAATACCAACATCTCGCATAATGTGCCATACAATTATTGTTCCATGACTAAGGTAAACTTTGCACAAGCCATATTTTACAACATTATGAAAGTTCAAAACCTAAATTATAAATATGATAAACAACTTCAACATCCAATAAATAACACAAACAAAAATAACATGTAAAAACAAATTCCTGCTTCTGATACAGATCCAAATCGTTGCATGCAATACTTTTCAAATAAAATACAAACACAAGTGCCAACAAATTTATATACCATTCACTTCAATCTGTACAGGTATCACACAAAATTTGATTTCCCAAATCGAAAATAAAATAGAAGCCAATGAAGGAGTATGTTATAGAAATATTACTCACATTATGGACTGAACTGAACTGAACTGAACTGAACTTGTAACAGTTAGTTGAAACTGGTACGCTCCATTCCAACGGATATTTTCAGATGAAATTAGACTCATCACTGATTGTAAGTAGTTCAATGAAAATATTTAATGATCGATTCATTATGCTTGTGTAACAGGTCAAAATTGAACTTTTGTGACGAAAAGACCAATTCAATATCTATCTATTTCTAATCAATATCTCCACAAGAAGTGAACAGCAAGAAACAAAGAAGTTGTGATATGTTTACAAACTATGTACTTCAAAGAAATAGGACTCACACATATTCTGAGCTTCCCATCCTTCTTTCTGACTAGAACGATAGGGGATGCAGAAGGACTCGAAGATTCTCTAATGATGCCTCGTTCCAAGGACTTGTTGAGGTAATCACGAACTTCGTCCCAATGATGTGGAGGAATCCTGCGATATGGTATCTTGACTGGACGGTCATCCTCAGTTACAGTCTTGTGACTTACCAGGTCGCAATAGCCAATGTCATCTTCGTCCTTACTGAAAGTTGTTTGGTACTTAGAGAGGACTAAATGATGTTGCGCTTGTGGACTTCATCGAGATCCCCAATATCCATCAATTCAATTCAATTCAATTCAATTCAATTCAATTCATATTTATTTCATTTCCCACAGAAAGGTAAACAAAGATACTACATTTTTTTCATTTATAATTCATTTTTTCTGGTTACTATACAAATACATTTTGCACATACCGGTAATAAAATTATTACAAAAGAAACACCTAATTTCTGAGGAAATGGGGGGGGGGGGGGAACCACTAAAAAGCTTGGACACAAGATCTGCAATATCGTCTCCCTGTAGGCCACTACAGTAGCAGACTTAAGTACTGCAGTTGGTGTTCTCGGTTGAAGATACACATCTTTGTCACTAAAATTGGCAATCTGCATTGGCACCCTTCCCTTTTCGTTGACCG